TAAATTGTTCTCACATTCATTCGCAAGGTAATTGACAGATGTCAAATATTTATAGTGTAATTTTCAGGAAGCGTGCGCTTCTAGGCTTATTTTTCTATGAAACGGCCAAGTCTTGAAACTGCCTTCCTCTTGAATCTGCTAAGTCTTGTAGTTCTCTAGGTTATAAAAAGGCTTTCATGAAGGTACCTAGATTAATTAGGACTTTAAATTACAAGTTTGCTGTTGATTTTAATTTCGAAAATCCTTTGGAAAGAGCTAGATCAAATAAACCATATTGTACTTTTTTTTTGTTTTGTTTTGTTTTGTTTTTTTTTACTTTAGTTTTTCAGTCTGTTGTCTTTTATTCTATGATGAATTGTGGCATATCATTGTAAATTTTAGTTCACTTAAAGTCTTGGACCAGCAGCGTAATTGAGAACATTTAGATAAAATTTAAGATCAATATGGAAAATTAATACATATATATAAAGGATGCATCCGTGACATCATATAGCAGCTTCGTTGTATACATAATGGTTATAGGGGATGTAAATAGGGTTTCTTCATTGGTTGCAACTGACTTCCAGAGAAGAAAAAATCTCAGACATCACGTAAAGTTAAACAACAAAGAAACTTCGCGCAATCGAATGACGACTAACTTTCTAAATTATTCTAAAAGTAGCTAGTTTCCTTCTGCATGTTGAAACGTCAATCACTAACAAATGTCCATTGCAGGACTAACCGGCTCAGCTAGACGATCTCACTGCAACGAGTGGTTAGATATTTGTTGTAAGACTTACAAAGAGAATGTTACAGGTACGTTCTGAAAGATATGGACAGGTAATTCTTCAATCTGATTGCCCCACAAGGATCTAAAAAACAGTGATAAAATAGCGAACTAAGTGAATAATCCGTCTATCAATGCTAAGCCCGAGGTGGGAGCCCTAGGCATAAATGGGGCATTTGAAATTTCAGATGAATTTTTGGTCAAAATCCCTACGGTAGGGCCCGAAAAGGGGTAAATTAAGATCAGTGGTCTGTTCATTTCAAGAAAGGCATAATATAATTTCTTGCTGTCAATGGATGAAATATTAGAATTCCAACGCTTGATTGTCTGACAAAAACAAGACAACATTAAAAATCTGCGCAATCCACATAATGAGGTGTTTATGAGAGAGGTAATTGTTTTACTTGTTGAAAAAGAGTGCTTATCTCCAAAACACCCGTGTTCTATTTCAAGATGGCCGCACAGATGAGCACATGTAATGATGTGATTTTGTTCCTTTCCTCCTCGCAAAAAAATTAAATGCCCCCACAATGGAGTCCAGAATCTTAGTCAATTTTCCGGGGGTAGGGAGAGGAATCAAATGCCCCACTTATGCCCGGGGTCCCCTCTCCTCGAGCTTAACACTGATAGACGCATAATAAGTGCATGTTTAGATTCATTTTATCAAGAAAGAGTCCCATAATATTAAATGTTTCTATGGAACACTTAAATACTTTATGGAAGTGGCTATGAGCCACTCAACTTGAAAAATGGATCCTCTGTAAACAGTGGATCCATAGGTCATATGTCATTTATGTATCGAGCTAGAGAGGCGAAAAATAAAGCTAAAGCCCACCGGCATTGTTAAGAAATAGTGAAACACTCGGCTGTAAGAGAATACATAAAGAGATCTGACACCTCGAAGTCATGAGGTTATCCTTATTTGAGACGATTACCACAAGGAAAGTGCGGCTTTCCAGCGAGCGCTTCTTTTCTGATCATCATTGCTAAGCTTAGTATTAAACGCTTGACCAAGTGATTAAATCCCTGTATTTCGGGTTTGTATTTTTTTTTCCGATTTTTATTATTTTTTGTTGTTTTTCTTCATTCATCCATTTTTTATCTGTGACTTTTCCTCCCTACATTTACGTTTCGACGACTACTTCGTCTTTAGCGTAGCCCATGCATTGCTCAATGTGTGTCTAAGCGTTAAGAAGAGTTTGACCGCTGTATCGACGCAAGGTCGTCTCAAGATACTCTAATCCTATTCTCTTGGTTTAGTATATATATCTATTTATATCTATCTATCTATTTATCTTTCTATTTATCTTTCTATCTATCCTTCTATCTATCTATCTATCTATCTATCTATCTATCTATCTATCTATCTTTCTTTCTATCTATGTATCTATCTATGTATCTATCTTTCTATCTATGTATGTATGTATGTATCTATCTATCTCTCCATTTTTTATCGGTGACATTTCCTCCCTACATTTACGTTTCGACGACTACTTCGTCTTCAGCGTAGCCCATACATTTCTCAATGTGTGTCTAAGCGTTAAGAAGAGTTTGACCTCTCCATCGACGCAAGGTTGTCTCAAGATACTCTGATCCTATTCTCTTGGTTTAGTATATCTATCTATCTATGTCTATCTATCTATCTATCTATCTATCTATCTATCTATCTATCTATCTATCTTTCTATCTATCAATCTATCTCTCCATTTTTTATCGCTGACTTTTCCTCCCTACATTTACTTTTCGACGACTTCTTGGTCTTCAGCGTAGCGCATGCATTGCTCAGTTTATGTCTAAGCGTTAAGAAGAGTTTGACCTCTCCATCGATGTAAGGTTGTGTCAAGAGACTCTGATCCTATTCTCTTGGTTGAGTATATCTATCTATCCATCTATCTATCTATCTGTCTGTCTGTCTGTCTGTCTATCTATCTATCTATCTATCTTTTTATCTATCGATCTTTCTATCTATCTATCTATCTATCTATATCTATCTATCTATCTATCTATCTTTATTTCTTTCTATGTATCTATCTATCTATCTATCTATATCTATCTATCTATTTATCTATCTATCTATCTTTTTATCTATTTAACAAATAAATTCCATGTTGCCGTGCGTCTGTTCAGTAATAGATCACAGATGACGTCAAAATGTGGTAAGAACAAAAAAGTGGCACACGAGG